TCTATCTATCTATCTATCTATCTATCTATCTATCTATCTATCTATCTATCTTGTTTTAAATTAATGTGTAGGTATATGCCTGCATTTGGGTATGCTAAGATACTGCTGTGGAGAACTTGGGCAGTTTTTCTTATGTAGAATTCTTTCTTAGTTACTAGCTTTGCCAGCTATGTAGCATTTTAGAAGTTAAAAAATTATGTACAAGAGTAATAATTCACTGTTGCTTTTGCTATAGTATGTGGATTGTTTGCTAATAACCGATACTAAATGCTATTTCTTTATTGAATACTGAAAGTATTTCCTTACAGAATTCTTGTATCACTTTTTGTTCTAACAAATTTACAAGGATAGGCTAGCAGCAGTTACTCTTAAATCACATTAGGCAACTTCTGAAATGCATAAATACAACATACACACTTGAGTATAGGATAAATGAGGGCAGTAAACTTAAAGTAGTAATGTTTTAAAAACTAATAAAATTTATTTTCATCTCTCTTTAAGTCAAAGGATGTTTACACCTAAAACAGAAAGTTTTTATTTTTCAGATATTAAGATAGTAGAAGCCAGGTATTGTGCACATGAAGCAGGAAGATCACTAGTTTGAGGCTATCTTGGGCTCCAAAGGGGGGAGACTCTTTCTCAAAAACAAAAGCAAGTTGAGTGTGATAGCACATGTCTTTAATCCCAGTAGAGACAGGAAGATCTATGTGATTTTGAGGCCAGCCTAATCTGATCTGTATAGCAAGTTCTAGGCCAGCCAGTGCTACATAGTGAGAGCCTGTCTCAAAACCAAAACATAATACAGCCCCATTAACCACCCCATGTAGCTAGAAGTAGTCTCTGTCCCACTGGTCCCCTGGACTGGTTTTTCTCCACCTGCCTGTTCCTGAAGGTGCTTATGAAATAACCACTCTGAGACTTCTTACCAGTTGCATTTGTTTGGCCAATTTCTTAGGCTTCTTCCTGACTAGCTCTAGCTATTAAACTCACCCATTTCTATTAATCTATGGATTGCCACGAGGCTGTGGCTTACCAGTGCAGCATGTTACTCATTCAGCAGCTACATGGCATCTCCTCCACTCTGCCTGCTCTCTCTGTATCTTTGTTTGAACTTCCTACTTAGCTTTACTTTGCTGAGCCATTGGTCAATGCAGCTTTAATCATCAACCAATAAAAACAGCACGTATACAGGTGGACGCCCCACATCAACCCCCACAAAGTCCCCATAATGGAATACTATACAACTATAAAAATGAGATGAGGCCTGGAAAGATGGCTTACTGCATTATGACACATGTGTACCCACACATACACAAATCAGTAAAAATGAGGTGGTTTAACTTAGCTACATCATATATATATATATATATATATATATATATGTTAGAGTTTATCAGAAATTTACTAAACAGAAACATCCTAATCATTCATTTGGGTACTCTGAAATAAAGAAGCCAAATGGTTCCCTGTTGAACACAAGAGGAAGTTGAAGCTCTCAGGAAAACTTGAGAAGATAGGACTTTTGCAGGAGGTCTGCTGGATCAGCTTAATCTTGGTGTCACTCCCCTAGACTCAGTTACCAGTGCTCTTTTCAGTTACCTTAGGCTTGACTTTGCTTATAATGACCTCCCAAAGTGCTACCAGCTTTTGTTTTTTAGCTTTTTTCTTTTTTTTAGGATTACTGATTGGTATTTCTGAATTGTAAGAAAACTATAGTTTATTGTCCCTAGTGAGGACAATAATATCTCTCTCTCTCTCTCTCTCTCTCTCTCTCTCTCTCTCTCTCTC